GTGGTATATTCTTGTCAGAGCGGTACTAAGTAACCAGAACAGGGAGCTAGCTCAGAGGGCAGGAATGCATAAGAACGAAGGACACAGGGAATAGAGAGGAAGTGGGAAGAAAACAAAAAAACAAAACAAAAAAAACAACCAAACTCACTGCCGTTGAGTTGAGTCGACAACTCACAGCGACCCCTTCTTGGGTTTCCAAGGCAGTATCTCTAGAGAAATAGATTGCCCAATCTTCCTTCCGAGGAGTGGCTGGTGGGTTTGAACTGCCAGCCTTCTGGTTAGCAGTCAAATGCCTCAGACACTATGCCGCCAGAGCTCCCAAAGTGGGAAGAGAGCTGTTAAAATGTGGAGATTGCAACAGATGTCATGAAACAAAATGTGTATGAACTCTTGCATGGGAAATGAATTTTCTCTGTAAACTTTCATCCCCCACCAAAAAAAAAAAAACCTTCCATCAGATTCTTCTTTGTATTTTTACTTCTTTTGAGACTTTTTTTCATTTAAGATTGTTCATAGTTTCTCACAAGAGCATTTTTATGATGACAGTCTTAAACTTCTTGTCAGATACTTTTAATATCTATGTCATTTTTGTATTAGCATATTTTGGTTGTCATTACTCATTTGAAGTGAAATTTTTCCTTACTGAGTAATATTTGATTGTGTTCTGGATATCTCAGGTATTATGTAATGAGAATATTGTTCCTATTTAAAGCTTCTAATTTTGCAGTTGGTTACTTAATTTAGGTTTAGAACACACATCCTGTGTCACTTTTCCTTTTACTTTTTCATACTTTTGTTCAGATGTCAGTCTAGTTTTCAAGGCTTTTGACACTATTCTGCTTTGCTCCATTTGTACGCTACCTGGAGGCCAACTTGAATCCCGGTGGCATTCCACCCTGTAGTTCCAGCCTGTTTTTTCTGGTTGGTTTTATGAGTAGGTCACCTCAGAGTCTCCCTAGAATATCATATACATGTTTAAAGAATTCTTTTCTCTAGCACTCTTATTTATCCTCTTTGTAATTCTCTCTTCATTCTCTACTTGAGCAGGTACAACCACCAACTCATTAGTGCAGGGTGGGGATCCAAGTCTGAGCTCCACCCATAGTCTCTTTGGACACCTTGTACATGGCCTGGAAGGGAGGGGGAGGTATGTCATTACTTGAGGACAGAGATGCAAGACAGCACTCACATAACCAGTGTTGGGCACAGAACTCAGAGGAGAGAGGGAAGTGTGTTTTTTTATTTTTTGTTTATTTTGTGTTTGGAGCAGGGCAGGTAGTGTCAAAGAGGTTCTATCTAGCTCAGCTCCCCTTTTCCCAGTCCTTTGGTTAGAAAAAAAGTTTTTCCGTGGGGCTTTTAAAAATCATCTGCTCCTTTAGTTGGTATTTCCAGGCTCTGGATTCTCCAGATATAAAGGTGAAAAAATAAAAGAAGAAACTCACTGCTGTGTCCTTCCTTGAATGGTTTGCATGCAGTACATCACAACATGGATGCTGCAGGGAATTATTCAGTAGAGTGAAAAAATGAGGACATAATGGAGAGAGAAGAGAAGTCATAAAGTGATTATTTGAGTAAATGAGAAGGGATGGGATCTCATACACAAATGGAGGTACTGGCTTGAAACTGTGGCAAAGGTTGTTCATCTATAGTATTGTAAGGAGGCAGAGTACATAGGTGTAGATGTGAAGGGAGTCTGAAAAATCACTTCTCAGTGAAGTAGGAAGCAACGCTATCTGCTGGTGAGGGTGAGATTTGAGGAGAGAACAGAAGGTATGACATAGTCATTAGGTGAGTTGGGAAGTAAATGGACTATAAAAATGCTCTGGGGCCATCAGAGTTTTAGTGTCACAAATTTAAAATGACTCCAATTAGAATGGTTGTGGGAATGCAAGGTAATCTGATGGCAGAATTCAGTCAATTAAGCTCTGGTCTCTGATACTGTCCCATGTCCCACTCCCCTTACCACTCCTTCTGGTTCTATTGTTCTTGAAGACCTGCTCTTGCACAAACTACAGAAAACAGAGTACTGCATTAAACTTAAAGGAGCTCTAGTGGTGTAGTGCCTAAGGTGTTTGCTAAGCAGAATGTTGGTGGTTCAAACCCACCAGCCACTCTGTGGAAGGAAGACTGGGCAATCTACTTCCATAAAGGTTTGTTGTTGTTGTTGTTATGTGCCTCAGAAACCCAAAGGGGATTGCTATGAGTTGGGATGGACTCAATGGCAGTGAGCTGAGTTTTTATTAAACTTAAGGTGACAGCTCCAAACATGTGCCATGTGGCAATACGGACTATTTTTAAATTTTGAGAGAAAAACAGTGACATCTGTTGGACATTGTGTGAACAACTAGCTCAAGTCAGTTCACACTTTTAATGTCAGATCATACTATATTCCTTCCAATCGCATAGTTTGTTTATGAAGCTGAGTTTTCAGACACTGTTGAAATAAAAGCAAGTACTGCACAAAACTCAGTGTGGAGTGTGATGGAGTAAACAAATCAACTTGTTCAATCACTGTTGTATTCCTGGTGGTCTTTGATTGGAGGATATTGACAACTCAAAAACCTGAACACAAATGTTCATAATAACTTTATTCATTCTTTACCCAAACTGAGCATATCTATACAATGGACTATTTACTCAATAATAAAAAGGAACACACCACCAATATACACAACAGGGTTGAATCTCAAATGCATTTTGCCAAGTCACGCTCAAAAGTCTACATCCTGTCTTGTTCCATTTATACAGAATTCTGCAAAAGGCAAAACTCTAGAGAAAGAAAACAGTGGTTATTAAGTTAGAGGGAGAGGAAAACTGACTACAAAGGACACAAGAGAGGTTTTTATGGTGATGGAAATGTTTTATGTCTTGACTGTGGCAGTGATTACATGACTTACGCATTTGTCATACTCGTAAAATCATGAAAGGTGAATTTTACATTATCTAAATTATACCTTATTAATGAATTGACAGAAAAGCTAATATTTTGAAATCAATTAAAGAATGACTTTATCCATTTTCTCAACAAAATGCACCAACTTTTAAAAAATATCTAAAGCTGTGATTAAACATAAAGACAGGAACTCTGGATAATCTTCCTGGAGAGCAACAGTATGACAACAGTGGGAAAGTTATTTTTAGAAAGTTCATACCCTTTTGCCCAGAATACCACATTTGGGAATCCACCCTAAACAAATGGTCAAGAATTGAACATATTTTATCAATTCTCAGATTACATAGGTTTAGAATGCACCATCAATTTAACAGATTTTCAGAAAAAAAGTGCACAATTATTTTAAAATAAATATTAGCATAGATCCATGCCACCTTTTACATTATAATCATCACAGCAGGAGCCTTCCTTCCCTTCACACTCAGAGACTCACTATTCAACTGGCTCACTTTTGGCCATTGTCAGTTATCCATAAAATAGTGCCTTTCTGCTTTTCATAATCTTAATTTGTGATACCAACCTCTTCAGGACTTTGGAATTGGCAAAATAATCTGGGGAATCAGTATTTCCTGGTAGGATACAATCATGGCTTCCATCTTGTTTTCACTGAATTACAAAGAGTTGGAATTAAGCCACTTTTCATAAATAGACATTTGATGTCTCAGTGACACTTCTTTACAATACAAAGACTAGGCACACAATACCATTTAGGGTAAGAAATCTGGCTATTTCTAACAACTCTAATTTATAATTGACATCACCTGATGTGACAGGCAATCTTTTGAAACAATCATTTTATTTTAAATGCTGCAACACTGTGTGATCTATTTTAAGACATTTTAAAGAACAATTGTTGTTGTTATGTGCTGTCATGTCAGACCCGATTCATAGCGACCCCTCCTTGGGTTTCTGAGGTGGTACCACTACAGAAGTAGATTGCCCCATCTTCCTTCTGAGGAGTGGCTGGTGGGTTTGAACCGCCAGCCTTCTGGTTAGCAGTCAAGTGCCTTAGGCACTATGACACCAGAGCTCCTAAAGAACAATTAGGAATCCAAAATTAAATTAAATGTCAACCTGCCATGGGGATATTATTAGCAAAATGGTGATTGCTATAGAACAACCAACCTAATTTCTTCAATTTGAAAAATTGCAAGGGGGAAAAAAAAAAAGCAATGGATGGGGAAACCTACAGATTAAAAAAGACTTAATAGACCTAGCACAATATTACTTCTTTGGATCAGAATTCAAACTATTAAAAAAAATCACATTCATGAGGTTATTAGAAACTGTTTGGCTAAATATTTGATGATACTAAGAAATTACTGTTATTTTTTTAAACATGATCATGATATCATAGTTGTTAAAAACAGTGCTTGTACATACATAATAGAACATTTATAGCTAAAAGGATATCTATCTGGGATTTGCTTCAAGACAGTAATGTAGAAGTTAGATGGAAAGTGGATAAAGCATGCCTGGTTATAGGTCAAAAGTTTGGGGGTGGGATAATGGGTACATAAAGATCCATCATTGCTATTTTGTTTTTTTTGTGTGTATTAAAAATTGTCTATGATAAAAAATACTAAGTCTGGTTGTCAAACCCTGCAGGTATAACTCAATACTTATCTTAATGTTTTGTGTTATTTGACACTGTTGAACCTTCACTGCTACTTGAAATTCTCCCTCTTTTAGATTCTGTGTCCCTGTCTTCCTAACACTCTCACCATTCACTCTTAGTCTCATTTATAGGCCACAGTTCCTCTTACCCACCCTTCAGTCACTGGTGTAGGGTGAAATGAGGGCTTCTTTCTTATAATTATGAGGTGTTACTATAAAGTAAATGGAGAGCTTGGTAGGACCAACTGAAAGTCAGCTGCCTTCCCATCTTAGCCTCCCAGAATAACTGCACAGGTGTAGTGCAGAAATAATTTATCAGCTTAGAAAACACTTCATGAAGAAAACATTAGATTTTTATATTATTTTATTTTTCACAGAATACCCCAATAGCCACCAGCTTCCCATTATGACGAATCTAGATATAGTAATATCACTTTTGACGAACTGGATTTGAGCTAAAGGATCCTGAGAATGGCCCCAGCCACTTTTTGGATGAACGCAATATATTCCAGGAACTTGACATCTTTGCCACCAGGGGAATTCTGAAGTTTCTCTTTCTTAAGGTTTTCATAGGAATTGTCCAGCGAATGGTTTTGGGAACGATCTCCAGTGAATCTGCTGGGACACAGGCATAAAAAAATGGCTTCTTTGGTTTGGTTTCAGAATGGAAGCTGGTATACTCTTGTTGAGGTTTTGATGCTGACTTATGTCTGCTTTCGAAATACCATGATGAGTTTTCTGACTCATAATTACGTACTTTCTTTTTGCTTGTCCTTTTCTCTTTACTTGGTGTATAATTATAATCACAGTCCAAATGAATGTTGTCCTTTCTCATTAAATCAAACTTTGGCTTCATTTTGTTTTCTCTGCTTCCTAGATGCATGTGGGGTTTGCCTTGATGTTTTGCAAGATGTAATTTGATATTTGATTCAGTTAAGGGAGCTAAAGAGTAGCTTGTTTTTCTCCATGAAAGTTTCTCTTCACTGAATGATACAGATGACACAGATTGAATTTTTGCAGTATTTAATGAACAATGGCAAAACCAATCAGGAGATTGCATTTTGGAGGAAGATCTATATTTTTTGTCTTTTTGAGGTTTATAGGAAGGTGGCGGCATAATGAAGGTGTATTTTCTACCTCTAATATCACGGGAACCTGAATCTGCCCTGTAAAATTGTTTCAAGTCAGTTTTTATATTTTCCATCTGGTAGATATTTTTCAAAGGAACGCCTTCCTGTAATTCAGATGTAATGCTTTCTGGTCCCTGACTTAAGTAAGTGTTGGCATCTAAAAATATGTATTCCTCACTCTCATATACTTCAAGAGATGGACAATTCTCTAACTTAGCTGACCTTTCAATATTTGTCTGAACATCACTAGTATCTTGAGAAATCTGAATTGAATGTGTATCAGTTAAACTAATATTTCCCTGAGTCTTTAAGTCAAAAGATTTATATGTATTTGTTTGTTGAAACCATACATGACATTCCTTATCTTTTTCTGGAGTCACATGAGGTTTTGATTCTGAAACAACATTAATATCTTTTAGCACTGTGCTGTGTAGATCAGGGTCAGAAGCACCCTTATGGGTTGGCTCCAGGAATTTTCTGATCAGTGATGAGCTTTCATGAGGTCTTTGCTGTTTGAAAGAGATATGTTGTTCTAACAGTTCTGTATCAACAGGAAGATCACAACTTTCTCCAACATTGTCTACTTTTTTACATATTGTACTTGTGTGTAATGTATGTTTGGAAAGTGCATTTGGTTTAGGAAACATACTATCTGCAGTAAGCCCCAGGAGAAAACATAGATGTTTATATTGTAAATCAAGATCTATTTTATGAAGAGATTTTTCCTCAAAAAATAACAAAGTTCTGTTTCTGCGTTTTGGAACTTTGGCACCAAAATTAATACATTTTGGTAAAGGTTTCCTTCTACCTTGAGCATTGGCCACTATAGAGGATTCTGTTACAATTCTGGGAAATGCTTTCATTTGAATCTCCAGTGTTTTCATAGAAAGGTGCATGAGAAGTTTGTCTTTCTCTTCTACTGAGTAGTTTTGGAGAATACGAGGCAATGACATCTCATTATCAGCAGGAGTCATAGAAGATTTTCCAGTTAATACTAGTTTATTAGTACTCTTTAACTTTGCAATAATCTCCTCATTGTAGCTTGAAACATTAACAATCAGTGTCTTCATATAGCCAATGGGTGAATCGTTTTGTTTTAAATTAAGTTCTATAGTATCAAGCCCTTCTAGAGACATAAAACATGATGTTTTATACCTTGGGTACAACCCCCAACTGCTATCTTTTTCTGAAATAGGTTGTTTTGGATAACTGCTGAAATTTTGGAAGGATTTACGTGCTATTTCCGGTATCAAATTCAGTTTTATTTCAAGTCCTTTTGATGCTAAGTGACTAGTAAGCTTATTTTTTCTTTCAGTAGGAAAATCTGAAAAGGGTTTTGGCTGCAATTTGGGATATATTGTTGTTGATATTGTATCCGGACCCTCTGGAAAAGGTGGTGGCTTCAAGTCATCAGGTTTATGGTCTTGCGCTTTCTCCAGTTTATCAGCAGAAACTTTGTCTTTGATCTTAACAACAGTGAATGGCTGTTCCTCTATAGACTTATCTCTTTGGTTTACAACGTTTTGATTCTTCTCAGCCATCATATTATATTCGTCCTTGTATTCAAGAACATTTGTAATTTCTTCATAAACAAGAAGGGAACTTTCTTTATTTGTATTATCAGCCACTATTTTTATTTCATTACTTTTAATCTGGTGTGGTATGGGCATGTGGGCATAAATAGATTTTGGAATAGTTCCTGGTAAAGCTTTATGTTGTTGCATCTTTTGGGTGGTTGTATCCCATATTGGTTCACTGGAATCCCTTTGCTTGGGTGGTGAAGCACATGCCCTGGTATCAAATAGTTGCATCCCACAATGTGATGTTTCTACACTGAGAGGTGGACTATTACTTATGGTACTTTTCAAGTGTGTATCCACATTTTTCTTTGGATCATCAAACATAAATGGATACTTTGTAGGCTCCAGAATGAGTTCTGGTATATTTTCTTCTTGATCAATGATATGCAATTCAGGTTCTTTTATAATTTTAGATGCATCACGCCCAGGAACAACTTCTTTTGTTTGTGAAGTTAAATTTGTTTTACTTATTTCACTGCTAAGGTTTGCTTTTAATTCAACACTAAGCTGTTTCTTCATTTGTTGTTCATCAACCATGAATGACTGAGCATCTTCTGGGACTGTTTTTGTAAAATTCTGTTTCCTTTCTTTTCCAGGGCTTGAGGTAGCCCTCTTAATAATTCTGCCAGCATTTGGTGATTTCTCCTGGAATTTAGAAGGAAAGATTCTCCACTGTCTTTCAAGGTTTGTCGCAGATTCTACCGCTTCTTCAGTGTGAGGTGGATTCATCATAGAAATAGAGAGACTTCTGATAAGTACTCCTGAGGCATCTTTATTCCACAAAGCCATTTTCTTTTGCTTGTCAAAGTTATACTCTAATTTCTTTCTACTGTTTGGGGTACCACGTCCTGTGATACTAAGTATTTGTGAAATTGGGTGATTTGGGACATTCATAGTTAAACAGTGGGGGCTCAATTTTCTTTTCAAATCTGATATTGTTAATCTACCTTTCTGGCCTTCAAATTTGGAAGAAAGAGGAATATAGGCATAAAGTGAATCCAGAACAGGTTTTTGAGAATATTTCTGTGGCTGAATATTTTTCTTTGTAATCGACACTTCTACTTCTTTATGTTTTTGCTCAATTGGGCAATTGTCCATGATATGAGTGATTGACTGAGTCTCAATTTGAGAATCCTCTGCTTTTTGAGCTGGAACATCCACATTTACAGTACAATTTGTGTCCATTTTCATTTTATTTTCCTTTAGATTCACAGTGTTCTTGGCCATTTCCACTTTTTCCTCTTTCATATGTACAGTTTTGCTTGTATCTATTTTTAATTTCTTTTCTTCCTGATTCACAGTACTGCTATTGCCCATTTCTAATGTTTTCTGTTCCAGATTTATAGTAGTACTTGTGTCATTTTCATTTTTTCCCTCCAGATCTCTAGATTGAAGTAGAAAAGTCAAGTGGGGAACAAGAGATTTCTGAAGTGACTCTATAAAGCTTTTTGCTAGTTCTGAAACAAGCAATGCCTGCTCGTTTGTCCCTCTCGTGGCATCAAGCTGTGTAACATCCTGTATTTCTGGTGGTATTAGTACTCCAGGGGACACTGTAGTTTTCTTGTCCACATTTATTTCCAATACTATCTTCTGCTTTCCATTCTGAAGTGAAAACTTAAGAGAAAGGATAGAGCTGGGCATGCACCCATGTTCACTCTCAGATAGCTGCTCTGCTTGCTTTTTCATGAAGATTGCTTGTTCTCCCATGTTTTGGAGGGTATCCATCTCTGCGATATTAATTTTCTCTGGTGATTCTTTTGCCTGCAATGCTAACACTTGGGAAGAAAACATTTTGCTAATTTTCTTGTTACTTTGTACATCTTTTTCTAGTTTAACAAATTTACATGACTCCTCAGATTCTGGGGATGCTTTTGATAACGTTTCTTGTTGCCGGGAATCTCGCTCTGAAACAGACAAATCTTGTCCTTTTGATATTCTAGGGGTGCCTAATGTGATATACATTTCCTTGGATATTTTTCTTGACAGTGGATGTGAAACCATAGAATGCATTTTATGGTTTAAGTTTTCCATTAGGTCAGTTTCTTTCTCCAGATTTCCAGTTTTAGTTGGACCCATTGTGGGGTAGGAAAGAAATGTGGTAAATGTTTCTGTTTTGTATTTTTCTGGCTGAGCCTTTTGCTCTGTAAAGAGCCATTCCAGTCTTTTTCTACTTCTTACAGTACCAAATCCTGTGAAATAAATGTCTTCCTCCTGTGAATTTAAAACTAACCGATTTAGATCTCCTTCTGATTTGACTCGAGGAAATTCCTTCCTTTGCTGTACACTGATGAGAAAGTTTGAGGTACATTGTTGTACTGTGTCTTTTTGTGGAATATAATGTTCTGTTTCTTGAAAACTATTTTTACTATCATCATCAACTGACTTTCTATTTGCAAGTTTCTGGGTATCTGATGATTCCTGATAATGTTGCTGTGGAAGAGCGAACTCAGTAATTTCTGGTGTGTCTCTGTCTAATTTGGTTCCTGAATCCCCAGAATGGGCAAGCGTAGATGGTACGGAAAGAAAAGTCTTTGTCAAAGCCACATGTGGCTCATCTTTCCCTTTATGCCCTTTTCCCTCTGGCTGCCTAATATTCAACACCAATTCCCTTATATTGAGCATATGTGAGATGGGGGAACTCTTTGCACATTTGCAATGCACCCTCATGCTCGTATCTCCTGTTTTCACCTTGTACTCTTCTCTCTGTGGCAAATGTTTTTCTTTCCTTACATCACCATCGATTGCATCTATACCCACTATTTTCTTTGCATGTGATGATGCTGAAAGCAGTAGTGGGAATAGAGAGGATTTTTTAATTTTTAGCATTTCTTCATCCACTTGTGTAGCTTTATCCACTTCAAGGTTAGGTGGAGAAGGTTCAGAAGTATACAGTTTTCTTACAAGCATATATGGTGGTTTAGCTTGACTTTCCTGTTCCTTTTCTCTTTGACTTCTAATGTTCAGATGCAGTTCTGTTCTATGCAGTATATTTGAAGGAAGTGTTTTCTTTGTTTTCAAAGTTATCTCTGTGGGATGCATAGTTTCTCTTACAGCTATTGTTTTTTCTCTGTCTCTTTCTTCTTTCTGAGGCATAAGTTGTTTTCTGTCTTTAATATCTTTTGGGTTATCACCACAAACTGATTCTGTATGCACTATTTCCCCTGCATTTGATATTGCCTTCAAAACAGATCCTGTAATTCCTAGCATTTCATCATCCACCTGTATCTCTTTATCCAATTTGAGATTAGATTGAGATTGTAATGATGTAGATGGTTTAGTCAGAACCACAGCTGGTTCATCATTGCATTTTTGTACCTTCTTTTCTTGATGTTTGGGGAGCATTATGATATTTACTATTTCCACTCCCTCCTCTTCCTTTTTCTCTGGCATATGTTGCTTTCCTTTTCTTAGACTGATTAAAATATCACTACTAAGTGTCTCTGTAGATACTACTTCCCCAGAATCCGATGACTCTTGGATGTTGACTTGTGAAAAAGAGAATGATCTTGGTAATGTTGGCATGCCTTCTTCTTTGACTCTGTTATCCATTTTAAGGTGAGGGGGGGAAGATCTGGAAGCACAGGTTTTAGTCAGTATGACATGTGGATCACCTTTAACTTCTTGGACCTTTTCCTCTTGTGCTTTAGTTCTCCACTGAAGGTCAGTTAGGTTGTGTATATGTAAAATAGGTGATTTCTTTGCCTTTAAATACATATCCTTGGGATCTGCTGTACTATTCATATCCATGGTTGTTTCTTTCGCTTTCGGTAACATTTGTTCTCTTAATTCTTTTACATTACTTGAGAGTTTTCCATCAGTTGTGTCTGGATATTCTATTTTCTCCACATGTGATGATTCCTTGGATTTTAGTTGTGGAAGAGACAATTTTGTAATTCTTATCATGTATGCTTCTTCTGTTGTATCAAATTTAAGATGTGGTAGAGTATATAAAGAATCACAAATGGTTTTCAGCCCTACAACTAGTTCATTTTTGTCTTTCTGCATATCTCTTTCTTTCTCTTCTATACCCCTTTGTAATTTATTTGCCTTCAAAACCATGTATGTTGAGAGTAGTTCGTCTTTCATATCTATTTTGAATTTATCTTCCTTTTCTTCCTGTGTTTTAGATTGTACTGGTCCTTTTCTGTTGCTTAACATATAACCATCATTTGACTTAGCATATGCTTTTTGGCCTGAATCTGATATATCTTGAATCTTTGGTGGTGGAAAATAGGATTGTGTTGTTCCCAGTGTGCCTTCCTTTTCATTCATTCTAGTGTTCCATTTAAGGTAAGATGGAGGAGAAGATAAGGAAGCATAAGTTTTTCTCAGAACCATTCCTGGTTCACCTTTGCCTTCCTGAACTGTTTCTCGTTGGTCTTTAATATTCAAAACTAGTTTCTCTCTATTGAATAGCTGTGTAAGTAAGGATGGCTTTGATTTCAAAATGACTGATTTGGGGAGTGTTAGACATTTCTTATCTTCCATTTGTTTTCCATCTTCTGCCTCTGTCTGTGGCATGTGTTGATTTGCTTTTATTATTACATTATGTGCGCTATTACATTTATTTGACTCTGCACATCTGATTTTCCCTTCATCTGATGATGCATGTGTCTTAAATTCTGAAGGAGAGCATCTTGTAATTTCATGCAAGTCTTTGTCTACTTTGATTCTTGTATCCAATCGATATTGAGATGGAGAAGGCACAGAAGTGTGGCTTTTTGTCAGAATCACATCAGGTTCTCCTTTTCTTTCCAGCTCTTTTTCTACTTTCCTTTCTTTGTTCCACTGTGGTTCCTTTCTCTTGGACTCTACTTGCCCTGAAGTCAATGATTCTTGGAGCTCAAGATGTGGTACGTAGTCTCGTATCATCCCTACATTATTCTCCTCTCCTTTAATTGTGTCTAATTTTAGGTGAGTTGAAGAAGTTGCAAAAGTACAAGTTTTGCTCAGGATCACAACTGTTTCACTTTTACTTTCCTGCCCCCTTTCCTTTTGTTCTTTGATCTTCAATTGAAGTTTATTTGTATTGAGTATTTGGGAAAGAGGTGATTTCTTTGCCCTCAAAGCTATGTATTTAGGATGCATCATGCCTTTCTCAAAAGCAGTATTTACTTCATCCTCTTCTTTTTGTGTCACGGATTTTGTTCTTTTTAAATCACTTAAGACAGCATTCAAAGTTGACATGGTACTTTTCCGTCTCCCTACATCTGATGGTTCCTTGTGACATGGTGGTAAAAGAAAAGATCTTGCTACTGTTAGTCTGTCTTTCTTACTTTCTATATCTGTTTCTAATTTACAGTGAGGTAGAGAGGGTGTTGTCAAAACTTCATCTCGTTCACTTTTTCTTCCCTCTACATATTTTGTTTTCTCTTTAATGTCCATCTGTACATCTTCTCTAGTTTGGGGCATGGCACCTCCAGTGATACTGAGTGTATGTAGAAGTTGTAATTTCTTTGCCTTGGAAGCTGTGTTTTTGGAGGGCATTCTGTACTTCGTATTTACTATATTTCCTCTCTCCTCTTCTTTCTGTGGTTTGTACTGTTGTACTGTTTTTACATCATGGAATATATCATTTCCAATTGACTTTGTATGTGATATTTTCCCTAAATCAAATGATTTCTGGAACTGTAGCTGTGAAATAGCAGATCTCGTTATTCCTTGTATACCTTTCTCTCTTCCTATTTCTTTGTCCAACTCATGATGAGCTAGAAAATATTCACAAGCCCAATTTGTGGTCAAGGCTATTTCCTGTGCAACTTTACTGTCTTGATTCATTTCCCTTTGCTCTTTAAGGTTCAATGACAGGTCCCGTGAAAAGGCTTCCTCTATTTTCAGCTCTTTATCTTTTAGATGTATTTTATCTTCTGTGGCTGATACCTGTACTTTATCCTCTTCTTCCTGTGGCATATATTTTTTTACTTTTTGTGGATCACTAGTGATATCATCCTCAATGGGTTCTTTACTAGCTATTTTTCCTGCATCTGATGATTTACTGTGTGATAATTTTGAAAGAGCGTATCTTTTTACTTCCATTATATTCTCCTCTATTTTCATTCTTGTATCTGATTTTACATGACATGGGGGAGATATGGAAGTGCTTGAATTATTCAGAACCATACTTGGTTTACCTTGAACTTTTTGTAAATTTTTCTCTTGCTCTTTGATGTCTGGCTGAAATTCCTGTGGAATTAGTGATTTATTTTTCTTTAAAGTAACAACTTCAGCCATTTTCACTCTCACTTCTTCCTGCATCACATGGTCTTTGGCTTTATTTACATTGTTTGAGCTATCACAACAACTAGATCTTTCATATGCTATTTTCCTTATATATGATGACTCTTGGAGATTTAGTTGTGGAAAAAAAGATTGTGTTTTTAATAGCATGTCTTCTTGTCCTTGTACTCTTGTGTCCAATTCAAAGTAAGGTGGAAGAGAGATTGAAACACAAGATTTATTCTGAATCTCAACGTGTTTATCTTCCTGCATTCTTTTCTCTTTTTCCTTGATGTTCAGTGGCAATTTCTGTGAAACTGAGAGTTTCCTTGCTTTTGAAGCTATTCTTTTGGGATGTGCTCTTTCTTGCAAAGCTATTTTTCTTCTACCCTCGTCTTTCTGTAGTATATGTCTCATTGTTCTAATTTGGCTTAAAAGGTCATTGATTGGCTCTTCATGTATTTTCATTGTATCTGATACTTCCTGGAGTGTTCGTGGTGAAGAACCAAGTCTTGTTATTTCTTGCATGCCTCTCTCCCCTTTTATTCCTGTGTCCAATTCAGAGTAAGACGGAAGAGAGATGGATTCACTCTGAACCTCAACTTGCTTATCTTCCTGCTCCCCTTTCTCCTTTTCCTTGATATTCAGTGACAATTTCTGTAAAATTGAAGGTTTCCTTGCGTTCAAAACTATTCCTTTGGGATGTGTTCTCTCTTGCAAAGCTATTTTCCCTCTGTCTTCATCTTTCTGTGGAATATGTCTCACTTTTCTAATTTGGCTTAAAAGGTCATTGATTGGGTCTTCATGTATTTTCGTTGTGTCTG